CAGCCTCCGGTTAGGAGGAATCTGTGTGTGTGTGTGTGTGCCCTGTAACAGGGGCTGTAGGGACACCGCTGCGTGGACCTGCTCTAGCGCTGCTGGGCTGGAAGAGGCCACTGTGGAGATCCCCTGTGAGGGGAATGGGGCTCCCCCAGAGCCCCTGCTGTTGGGAGACCTTGTGAGCAGGGTGTAGGGTTGCATGAATGTATGGCTGATTGGGATTGCCACCACAGCTGTGTTCATAAACACCTGAGAAGCTGCTATGCTGGAAAGCATTTTGGAAGTTATGGGGATGAGGAAAGGAATTTCTGTATGGAGTCAGCTAACGTTTCTTAGGGGCTTATTAGCTTGGGCATTGCCTGGAGGGGACTAAGCCAAGAAGCTAGTCCTGTAAGCAGTATAGCTATATTGCATGACTGACCCTTACCTGGCCCAGGCTGGCACTGCACAGGACTTGTCCTAGTGGCTTTTCCATCCTAAGATAGGATTTAAGTGCTACTGGGATGAACTGCCTGCTGTTTCGGGCTTGACTTTCTTTCCAGTTGCCTATCCTGTGCCTGGGGTCTCCTTGTCCTCTGGTCTCCTGAGGCCTGGAACAAGGAGGTTGCTCAATGTAAGTGCAGTCAAAACTCCTGAAAGAGGAGAAAGCATCCACTTACAACATGTTTCCTTTGTGAATATATGAAACAACTAGTAGTACCACTTACCTGTACTGCCCTGTTGTACTTCTAAATCACTTAAAGATATATAGTAACTTGAATGCTAGTGTGCCCCCTAAAATTTGGTGTAAACTCGTGTCATAGAACTCTTAAGCACCAGCTTCTTCTGACTCTTCATGGCATGCAGCAAAAACTGTCTCCTCATAGATTCAATAGGACTTCAGTAACTCCTCTACTTGAGGATAAAACTTTTTTTACTCTAAGCTTCTGTTTTCAGCTGCTTAGAATGCCTTGGACTTGTCTCATTCATGCCAGGTTTTTGGCTCATAAATCTGTTTCATAAATCTAACCAGCCACTTGATTGGACAGCGAGGAGGCTAATGCCAGTTCAGGAATTTTTCTGCTGCACTTTGTGTTTGTATAACTTGGTGGCTTTGTTTATAAAGATTTAGGCTTGGCAGGTATGTAATCCTCTGGACTGATCTAACTCCTTTAAGGTAAATAGGTCTTAGAAGTGGCTAACTTTGCAGCCTATGGAAATGATACAAGTAATATGCTGCTTTCTGAAAGGACTAGAGTGGAGTCCTAATATCAATGAGTATTTGTGTCTGGGCTGTCTAACTGCAAATGTCTCAGATGACTTGGAACAAACTACTTCGAGGGTATCATGCCCTTTATATATACCCTTTAAATAACCTGGAACTCTTATAGGATGGAATGTCACCAGATAACTTTCCCAACAGTGTTAACCATTGGCTCCTACTAATCACTCTAGTAAAGAGACCTAAAGTTCAGCAACAATGAAATGTGCTTGCATTTCAGCTATCTTGTTTTTACTTCTTAAACAGTGGTAACTGGAAGTAGGCCAAAGATGTTTAGGAAGGAGGAGCTGTGGATAAGCATATCAGTTGTTTGCCTGTAGAGCCTGTGGAAGGTCAAAGCAAGTACAGTAGCACAGCAGAGAGACAGGATTGGTTTCCTTGTACACCAATGGGTACAGAGGTGCATTTTGAAGCTGAAGTATGTGCTGTAGTAAGTTGAAGCTGTAAGACTGAATTCAGTAAGTGCTGTTAATACTCCCTAGTCCTGACAAACAGGAGTTTGTTTGAACATATCTGATTTTTTTGGTTAAAAAGTTTCCTAAATTCAAAATCTCCAGGCCAAGCAAGATGGGAGAGAGATCCTGTAACATGCTAATTACCGTGTGATAGGTAATGTCTGAAAGCTATTATCACAAACAGCTAGTAGTCAATAAGCCAGATTTAGTTCTGGAATGGTTCGTGCAGATTCGAAAGTCAGCATATGCAAGGCTGAGTACTGTCACTACTTGCTGCATAATAATGCAAAGCGCTGTCCTAAATCCTAAACTTGGTTTAAAAGGGTAGTAAAAACTCTTGTCAAAGCCAGGCCTTGTTAAATAGCTATTATTAAAGATTAAATGGTTTGCCCAAGCGTTTTCTGAGAATATTTGTCAGGAAAGAGTCCAGGAAACCTGAACCTGGCTGTTAGAGGCCTGCATCAGAGTAAAATGAACCACCACCACATAGTTAAACACAGATGCTAATGGCATATCATTCTTGCACACATTTAGGTGATTGTGGAATGAAAACTTAGACTGTACAAGTAAACTACTAATACTATCAAAAGGTAGTATTATCGTATGTTTGTTAGTATCATAACCAGGTAATACTCACAATAAGCGATAGTGGTAGCACAGATTCCAAGAGGAGAGTAGAATTAATACCTAGAAAATAAAGAAATCTATAAATGGTGTAAAATCCACAATGTTATCTTGTTCATCATCATTACCCCAGCAGAAGTTACTTTTTGACTAGAATCTGAGTTAACAACTACATTTTTGGCTAGTACAGTTATTAGTACATCATGGCCACAAAAGTATGGAGACAATCCACAAATGCCTTTAGAAAGGAGGGCTGGAAAGAGAACCTTACCCAGCCCCTCTCGCCTCAGGCCCGTGTTGGAACCAAGCGTACCTGCATCCCTTCTAACGGACGTTTGTGTAACCTCTTCTGAACTCTGCGTGATGGAGACGCCAGGATATCCCCAGGCAACCTACCTCCGGGTGGAGCTACCTTTAGTTTCCTCTCCCTAACCCAAATATCCCTCCTTGCACTTTAAGCCTACAACTTCCTGTCTCTTCCGCAACAGACATGGAAAAGAGATTCCCTGCCTCTGTGCTGCAGTCTCTTATGTAGGTAGAGACTGTTATGTCTCCTGTCACTTTTCTCTTCTCTAGACTAAACAACCCGGACTTTTTTTCCAATCTTTCCCTGCTGTCCGGGCTTTCTAGAGCTGATTGCTCCTGTAGAGTGACTTTGGACTCCCTCCAACTGGTCTGCTCAGTTATCGACTGGAAAACTCATTGTATGAATTATCACAACCTAGCTGCTTGGCAGAGCAGGTTTTTTTTTTTGTTTGTTTGTTTTCTTTTTTGCTAAAAGAAGTTGAAAGCATTAGTCTTTACAATCTCAAATTTGAGTTTTGAGCAGGCAGTCAGACTCTGGGTGTAGGTCAGACAACTGCAAGGATATTAAATTAGAGCAGTCTGTGAAATTACCACCCTTCCTCAGAGACGGGAGCTTGCTCTGGGGCCCAGCTGTCGTTGAGTAAAACCAGCTACCTAAACCGCGTTGGCCATCCATCCAGCCGGTACCCGAGGGCTCTGCTGCAGGCTGTCCGCACAGGGTAGCGGGAGGAAAACGACCATTTTCCACCACACCACGGGGCCTGCTTGCCCCTAGGTGGGATAGCGCCCTCCAGGGGCCAAAACTCCTCCAGCACCGTGAGCAGAAAGCTCCTGCGCTGCTGGGGGAGCGCCAGGAATAAATCCCGGCGGCCTGGAGCTGCTCACCGCCTCCAAGGGCC